GTGAAACAGAAGCTGAGGATGATTTGAATAGGGATTTTAAAATGGACTTTAAATAGTTGTCAGACTATAAAAGAGATGTGGAAGATATGAAAAAAGATGATGTGGATTTGAAAATGGCCTTAAAAGTGTTTGACTACAAGAGTGACATGGATAAAGAAGTCGTAATGGATATACAAACTATGCTGGCTGATGTTTAAGTAGACTTATTTGACCAAGGTTAAATTGTATAAATTTTGATTTTGGGCTGTTATTATTGGGATTTTTTTTTTTTTTTGACCAGGATTGCAAGATGATGTAAAGATTTTTTCATATGGGGATAAATCTTTTACCTCCTACCTATTAGACAAAGTTATGGGTTAGAATATAAAAGGAATCTAAAATTGGATCTAGTTTAAAATATATATGTTACTATTATTGATATTCTTTATACCTATGGGGATACATTTTTTACTTATTAGAGAAAATTATAAGTCAAAATGCGAAATAGATTTATTTGTCTAAGCTTAAAACATATAAGTTACCCCTACTGGTACTCTTAATGCTTTTCCTGAGTAAGACTGATTGATGAATCTTTCTATAATTTGGTTATTGTTTAGTGATGAGAAATGGGAAGAAGAGGTCCCCCCCGCCCCGTAATATTAGAGAAGTGTTAAGTTAGCGTACATGCTTAAACTTGTTTGGAAGGAAAGGGGAGTCACTTTTTATGTCTTTCTTTTTCTTTTTTCTTTTTCTTTCTCTTGTTTTCTTTCTTCTTTTTTGTTTGCGTATCTTTTCTAATTCTGTATTAGCTTTTAACTATGTAAAACTCTAATAAAAATATTATTAAAAAAAAAAAAGAACGCCAGCCAATGGGGAAGGCCAAAAGTGGTTTTTCCCAATGGGAGAGCGCCAGGGGTTGGCTCAGCTTCTCTGGCGCTTTCCATTGGGGAAACCCCGGTGCTTTCTCATTGGGCAAAACTGCTTTCTGCCTTCCCCATTGGCTGGCATTCTTATTTGTGCTGTGCTGCTGGGCAATAATAATAATAATAATAATAATAATAATAATAATAATAATAATAAT